CTGGTTTAAATCGTTTGATTGCGACCGCTTGGGCATGTGAACCTACAAGCTAACTGTTTCTGTTAATCAATTTTTCTGTTTTCTGTCTTACCCCTCCCCCCTCTTTTCAACTCTGAAAGTGTATAAATTGATGATGATAACTTAAACTAAAATTGTAATGCTTTCATTCTTTTTTGGATGCGTCAATTTTATCTCTTCTCTACTACTAATCAAACATTAAAGTAGTCTGCAGCTGATGAGAACCTGTGAAATAGAATGATATCATTTTATACTGCAAATTTCGTCTTCCTTTCTTTATCGAAATTTATCAAGGGAACCAGTTGTATGAAGTTCTTAAAAAGACGCCTCCCTGCCAAAACTATTAAGTCACTGAATCAGGTGGTGACCATTCGATGCAGAATATCTAGAGAATCAACAAAAATCAGGTTCTATGAACAGTGTTTACAAACAGGTTGTTTCCCACGGCAGTTCCTGAAACAAGGGCGATCGGCTAAACTCCCACCTTCCCAAAAGAATCTCCGTCGAATAACAAAATCTCACATCGAATCCTCATACCAGTACCTCTCCGAATTGAAATCTCGTCTGGCTACCTATGATACCCTACTAAGCGAGCTTAATATTATTTGCTGGCTAAAATTCATGAATTTTATCAAAGAGCTACAATCAAAAACATCCAAGGATTATGAAACTCAGCTGACAAAAGCGTTGGTGAAAGAGAAGCTAATCGAAGAATTCCCAGAATCACCTGAACGCTACGTCTGTAATCTATCAAAATTACAATTAAACAAAATCGAATTAGAAGCCTTATCTCTAGGATTCAAGTTTCACGTCCCCAAGAAGCAGATCAGTCGTATAGATACAGAAGCACAATTCGAACACTTATACCATCAACTCCACGACCTGAAACCCTTAGACGAAGACAAAAGAGGATGGCTAAAGTCTAAACTTGTTGATATTGCTAACCAATACCACATATCGCCAATGGAGAAGCCAAAGATGCTGACCGAAGAGCATAGAACAGCTCTGAAGAAACTATATGATAACGATGAAATCGTCATATTTAGACCTGATAAAGGCTCTGGGGTTGTTATAATGAACAAAGCTGATTATATTCATAAAATGATGACAATTCTAAACGACAAAGAAAAATTCCAAGTAGACAACAAAAAAGATGGCACAACGTCGTTTGAAAATAAAGTAAATAAATGTCTCAAAGAACTTCTAATGAAGAAATTTATCAACAGCGAAACATACAATAAACTGAAGTCAAAAGGTGGACGCCTGCCTTTTATGTACGGCCTACCGAAAATCCATAAAGCAAACGTGCCTTTAAGACCAATCTTGTCAATGATTGACTCACCATGCCACAAGTTAGCTCAATGGTTAGCTGATTCCATAGAACCAATTCGAATTAAATTTGCAACCCATAGCCTGAAGGATAGCTACCAATTCTCCAAGGAAGTCGACAACATTGACATATCAGACAAACTCATGGTATCGTATGACGTGACCTCCTTGTTCACAAACGTACCACTGATGGAAACGATTGATATCATTTGTAAGCAAACGGATCTACTACCGTTACCGGAAACAGAGATGAAGCGACTACTGCTGCTCTGCACAAAAGATATTCAATTCAAATTCGACAATCAACTCTACCGACAAATTGATGGGGTCGCTATGGGTTCACCTCTGGGACCTATCCTGGCTGATATCTTCATGGGCTACCTTGAACAGACACAACTAAGTTCTGCTATCAATGGAACAACCTACTATCGCCGATATGTTGATGACACATTTGTTGTTTGCAACGACATGGATCACGCATCGGCATTATATGATCGCCTAAATGAGATTCATCCAAATATCAAGTTCACCATGGAATATGAACATAAAAATGAGTTCAATTTCCTGGATCTAAATGTAAAAAGAACAAACGAAGGCATAATTGAAAAGTCCATCTATAGAAAAGAAACCTGGACTGGACAATATCTTCACTATAACAGCTTTTGTCCCATAAGCTATAAACGTGGATTAGTGAGGACTTTGTACGACAGAGCCAGGAAGCTATGTTCACCAAACAAGGTCGAAGAAGAACTAGATTTCATCGAGAAATGCCTGAGGGAAAACGGATATCCTAAAGGCTTTATACAGAAGTACAGCAGAGAAAAAGATAAGAAAGAAAAGCATCCAACTGTAGAAAAGAAAAAAGTGTTTATTTGTCTCCCATTCAAAGGAGATGCAGTTTCACAAAAGATTGACAGAAGACTGAAAGGAGCAATAAATAGAAGCTTCCCGGCAGCAAAACTCATAACAGTATACAACACCACTCCTTCCATGATCAACTCAAAACTGGATAAATACCCTGCTGATGTCACCTCCAACTGCGTTTATGAATTTACGTGCACTTGCGGGAGCAAGTACATTGGAAGGACAGAAAGAAGGGCTTCTATCCGGTTTTCTGAACATATTCCAAGAAATCTATGCCTAAAAGGAAGCAAATATTCTCAGAGTGCAATTACCAGACATATTGTTGATACCGGACATCTCGTAGAGATCTCTAAGTCCTTCAAAATATTAAATAGACAAAGGACAGCAAATTTACTACGATTTGCCGAAGCGATCGCAATCAAACGATTTAAACCAGACTTATGCATACAGAAAGAGAGTGTGATTAACCTCTCACTCCCTTGGTAACTGAATTTTGATTTTGATTAGTCATCAGTGATCTCAACTCACTGAGCAAATCTCAATCTTATAAACTGTAAATGCTTTTGTTTTTTGGAGTTGCCATGTGAACCTACAAGCTAACACTGTTTCTGTTAATCAATTTTTCTGTTTTCTGTCTTACCCCTCCCCCCTCTTTTCAACTCTGAAAGTGTATAAATTGATGATGATAACTTAAACTAAAATTGTAATGCTTTCATTCTTTTTTGGATGCGTCAATTTTATCTCTTCTCTACTACTAATCAAACATTAAAGTATGTTATTATCATTTATATAACCATTGTAATTTCAGGTAGTCTGCAGCTGATGAGAACCTGTGAAATAGAATGGTATCATTTTATACTGCAAATTTCGTCTTCCTTTCTTTATCGAAATTTATCAAGGGAACCAGTTGTATAAATAATATTCATTCCGATAACTATCCATCTAACTGTACGCATAATATGCGTATACGATTGTACAGCTAAATGAAGTTGTCTGAAAGAATATTCTGCTCCGTTTTTTCCTCTTGGTTTCAAACGCGGTAAATTATTTCCCTACAAGTTTATACTATTTTTATTAGGAAAAAATATTTGCAGGATTCGTCTTGTGATAAGCTTGTCTGTTCGACCAATGGCTGCAACAAGAATACACCAAACAGTCCACGTGCAAATAAATGTTGGCATAATTTCGACACAAAATCCATCCCCAAGGAAACCTTTTTTGGGCAGATACTACCAGGACTGACTCTGGTTGTAGTACTCTGCCATATGCATCGAGGGGTCTCACTTGTTTGACAATTTCTAACGGAAAGGTTATCGTACCATGTATAAATCTTATAGTAAATTTGAATGATCTTTCACGTTTCTCAACATGGAGTTAAGCTATCACATTAACTTTATGTTACTTTAGGGGATAATTTAGGTAAATCCGACAGATTAACCCTTTATTTTGTGGTAGTTAGAATTCATACTAGATATCACTGCTAGTTTGTGATAAGTAGATGAGTGATCTTTAATTGAATTTCGAGAAGCAGCGTTACACCTTATGTCCCTTAAAACCAATGCTGGTCCTACTAAGTTTAACCACACATACTTGCTTCAGCCAAAAAGATGCTAAACATGAATGCTTGTTGACTTTTCATGACATGGTTCGAAAAGCAACTCCTCGTCTATCATCCACGAGGTTGTAAACGTTCCGATCATTGGGCGATTTCCACTAATACATATTTATTCACTGAATCACCACGGTTCTGTCTTCACATCTAGCTGTGTTGCAGCTTGTATTTATTCAGCGCCGTACAGATTTTAGCGATGAATTCTCAGTAGTCAAAACACTATTAACGTCCATATCGACTACAAGCTTATCACCAGTAGTTAGACAGCTGGCTAGCACAATGACTTTAAAATTAAAATATTCTTGAGGTCTAGACTGCTGGATCGAATACGTCGCTTCACAACGTTCATCAGGAAACCCACTTATATAAAAATACATAATTGTCGTGTGAAACTGTTCACGCTTTTTCTGATAATGTCGTATCACACCCTCCTAAAATTGCCGAGACTCGCATGATTTATAGATGCTCGGAACGTCCCCAGTTCTTAGCTGGGTTCCGGTAAATGATGAATGTCAAAGACGAACGTCAGATCTTATTGAATAAATGTTGTGAGGCTGCTTAAAATATTCCATTATACATTAGACAGAAGCACTGGTACATATATAGCTAGCCAGGGAAATAAAAACAGAAGAGGAAGCTAGTTGATTGCATGCAATAGCTCTCTAAATCTCACTTATGACAGTGTCGATCCTGCAGGTTAGTGGTGACGAATTGGGGAATAAAATGAGCTCCTATTGTTATTTTGTTCAGTTGTCAGATATACAAAATAACTCCAAACTACAAGATTAAAACAATAATGTACTAATTGAAATTGTAGCCAGCTCATTAGAAATCTGTATCATGTAGCTATTCAAAACCTCGAAACTGCCATGAGTTTTTAGTTATATCAGTATCGTTGCCCCCATAACGAAGGTATTAAGCATGGCAGGACGGCGCATTCACATCTAATAGCACAGAAGCAGACCATGTGAATTCGCAAAACACACCACGACCATGGCCTCTACACAAGTCCGGTAACCGCAGCTTCTGAAGTCACTTCACACTTAATACAGCCCAGTTTTTGAAAAGGTGAAATTTACTCTTGTCACATAACACACATATGCGGTGTTTCAGACGACAAGTAAATCTTCGAAACTAAAATTAAGGTACATACACCTGAGACTCATAAGACATTAAATAATTCAGTTATCCAAATATATTTAAAAGAAACTTAACGGTAGGATTTCTGGTATCTAGCACGGGCTCCAGGGCCACCAAACTTCTTCGGCTCACACCTTCTGGGATCAGCAACTAAAAGGCTTCTGTCATAGTGGACGAACTTTTCTTTTATGCTGTTCTTAGAACTCTCATCGACATATTTCTGGTGAAATGCGACAACGGACTTGGCAATAGCTTGTCGAATTGCATAAATTTGAGCTACTCGGCCACCACCACTAACTCGAACTCTGATATCCAAGTTGGCTAAACCATGTTTGCCAAGAAGAAGAATAGGTTCCATCAATTTGGGTAACAAAGGACGGGGTTCGAGCACCTCCAGAGGCCTACCATTGACTCTTATGCTTCCTGACCCAAGTTTACAATGTGCTACCGCAGTTGCAGTTTTCTGAAAGATATAAAGTACTGAGGCACATAACTTACCTTTCTTCCAAATACCTGCACAGCTTTTGGTTTTTCCTTGGGCTGGTTTGCAGCACTCATTGTTGCCATTGCCTTTCAAAACGTGAAGAGTTCAAGGAGCGCGCCTATTCTACTAGTGAATTTCATCAACTAAAAGAATGTATTTGCCGCAACCATGTTAACTAAAGCTATAGACCGACATTTAATGTGCTGTAGATATTGCCAAATACTTTTTACTAAGTGATATCAGGTGCCGATTCTTTAGTGTGTGTCCACAGACGGCTTTAGATAGTTTTTCGGGAATTAGGGATCTGCTATTTCATATTTCAGATTTATTGGTTGGGGATAGAAGACTTTGAGCCTATGTTAATCGTTTTCTAACAAATTTCTGTGGTTGTCCAAACCCTTCTTGAGTGAATCAGTTAAGGTTCCAGACACCACTTCTTCTGGGAGTCGGTTCCAAGAGTTTACGACTCGATGTGAGAACCAGTATCCGACAGTAACATGATTTCTTCTTGGCTTTTGAACTCTTCTGCTATATCCTTTAAGGTGTTCCAACCTGGTGATAAGGAAAAGAGAGAATAGGTCAGTTCCGTAGTCATTATTCAAAATTTTAAACATTGTTATTAAATCGCCTCTCTGCTTACGGTATGATATGTAGAAGAGATTGAAACTGTCTAGTCTTTCCTCGAATGATAAGTTAGTCATGCCAAGAATCATACGTGTTGCCTTCCTTTGGACCCTTTATGGATTATGTGAGACAAGGACTGGCTACCTGGCTACAATTTTCTAGTCTTGACCTCACCAGAGATGTAAATAAGCAGGTGGACATATCTCTGGTGATTCTAGTAAAGGCTGTGTGAATTGCCCATCAATATCTGAAACTACGTGCAGCCATCGCGCGACAGTGTGCTGTAGTTTTAAATCGTGGCGTACAATGACACCCTAATCCGAGTGAGTCTGAACTGATGTTCGTAGGGGCTGATGCTTGCTTGTCCGATGCACATGGTTGCACAATTTGCTACATTCATCGGCAGCATCCATTCTCTGGACCAATCTGACAGTTCGTTGAGGTCCTCTTGCGACGTGAATGTATCACTGTTGCTCTTTAGCTCTCTCCAAATTTTTTAGTCATCCGCGTATAGGACCATAGGGGAATCGGTGAACAGAGAAAACTCACTGATATGCAAAATAAATAGGAGAGGCCCAAGTACAGTGTCTTGTGGCACTCCGCTACGCACTGCTGTCCAAAAGGAGAGTTTTGAGTTGTGGGGGTGGTATACTTAAATCTCTTAAGGCTAAATTTTTCAGTGCATAAACTATTAAACTACCTCACGAGAATTCCTTGATATTGCAAATATTTTGATATTCGCAATAATGTCTACCCCATTCTAAATACTTTTAGAGAATTTGTTCCTTAGCTTTATTACCACATGCTTGCGTGCGTGGTCTTGATCATGTACATTCCTTAATGTATCCTCAACCACCCTCGAACTACCTTCTTTACTGCCCTATTGACTTCCCTGGAGAATCTCTTAACGTGAACCTCTTCATCATGGTTACAGTTCACAATAATAAGTTAACCGACTTTAAGGACTGCCAGGGTAAGAATAATGCTGCCTGCTACTAATAAAGCCTCGAAAGCTGGCTGGCGAAATTCTGCCTACTTTTCTATCCCCACTTCCCTGTCCACAGACTGCAATTCATTTTAATTATCTCCCTACCCTGCCTTGCTGTAACTAACTTGACCGAAGACCTACCTTAAACAACATCAGATGACAACAACAGCATTCTGATCATTTTCAATCCAACTATGGATATGAATATTAACCGAACTCTCTGTTAAAAGTGCTACAGTATTTCAAATTCTCTAGTAAACAAGAGACCCGGCTGCAGTGTGAAAATGAACACAACGCGTATTGATGTTGGAAGCCTCGAAGATAAAACGTCGAGTCTCTTGCTGAAGGACCTCAGTAACAATATGAAGGCTGACGTCGTCTATCAATGACTTCGACAATTTGGTTTCCACACAAGTCTATCGTCACCGAGCAAGAGCGTTCTTGAAAGAGTCACTCACTCTCATAAATTTCTAGTTAGGGTCATGGATGACATAAATTGTGCGATGGTACCAATTTTCAGTTTCTCCACATTTGCTTTATAGCCAGCATAACTAAAGATAATCAAATAGCACCGATTATTAATGGCCATTATTATGTCATGTGACAGAAAAATTATCGAAAACTGTATTATTTACAGGCATGCTGATTGTAATGCGACATTAATCGTATCAAATCCCAGTATATACCCATAAATTTCTTTGACAGGTTCACGTGATGCTGTACATTATGGCAAGAAGCTTCTGAACAAAGTGATGCATACAATTATTATTATTATTTCCTTCAGTTCATAGAGGAATAGAGGGCTTCAGCCGTGCGTCTACATTGCGTTCGGTTCTCTGCCAGCCTTTTCACCTGGCTTCACGTCTGCCCACATGCTTTCATCTCCTCTTCACATGACCTCCTCCAAGTCACCCCACCCTCGCACTGACGACCAACTCGCCGCTTCCCTTTCGGCTGGGTTCCACTCGAGCAATGGCTTGTCTAGTGATGTCACTTGATGGTTTCCTCAGAGTATGGCCAATCCATCTCCATTTCTTCCTGCCTATTTGTTTCACAATCGGTTCCTGCTGTGTTGGTTCGCTCCCAGGGATCTCTGTTGCTGATCTTTTCTGGCCGGCCATCTGATCTTGAGTACTGATCGAAGACAACTGTTAATGAAGGTCTGTAGTTTGTTTGAGGTGCTCTTCATGACGCACCAAGTTTCTGATCCGTATAGTGAGTAGCACCGACTTCACATTGGAGTTGAAAATCCGGATCTTATTTTTCATGCTGAGTGCTGCTAACATCCACGCACACTTGAGAGTAGTGAAAGCCTGTCTTGCTTTTCCGATTCTTGCTTTGATATCCTCGTCAGTTCCGCCTGTAGTTGAGACGATGCTTCCCAGGTAGGTAGGTAAAAGAGGTTGTTTCTTTCAGATCTCTCCCATTTATGCTGATTTTTGTCAATTGTTGTTGCTGTGGCTGTTGCTGTTGGCCAGGAATCTTCATTACCTCTGTTTTCTCTATATTCATCTGAAGTCCTATCTTTGATGCTTCTTCTGCCAACTTGTTGCTTTTCGCTTGCATATCTTCCAGTCTGTGGGAAATCAGACATATATCATCAGCGAAGTCCAGACCCTCCAAGATTTTTGTGTGGGTCCATTTTACGCCTGTTTCATCGCTTCCCGCTGTCTGTCGCATTATCCAGTCTACTGCAATCAGGAAAATCATTGGAGATAGTAGGCAGCCAGCTTGTATTACTCCCGTCTTTACTTCGAAGGATTCCGTGAGTTTCCCGTTGTGGATTACTTAGCATGCAGCATTATGGTACAACTGTTGGATGAGATGCATAATTGTCGGTGGCACCCCATAGTAGCGAAGTAGTTTCCAAATTACCTCTCAATCGACGCTGTCGAAGGCCTTTTCAAAGTCGAAGAAGTTGAGATAGAGAGATGACTGCCATTCCAAGTTCTGTTCAATGATGATCCGCAGTGTTGCGATTTGATCGAAGCATGACTTGTTCCTCCTGAATCCAGCCTGTTCCGGTCGAAGTTTTCCATCCAAAGCGTGTTTGATTCTCTCCAGGATGATGTGGCTTAGTATTTTGCTTGGGATGGACAGGAGAATAATGCCGCACCAGTTCTTGCATTTACTTAAGTCTCCTTTCTTTGGCAGTTTGAATAAGTAGCCTTTCTTCCAATCCGCAGGTACCTTGCCCTCTTTCCACACCTTCTCCAGTAGTGGTGTCATCATGTCCGCTGATGTCTCTGGGTCCATTTTCACTGCTTCTTCTGGGATTGCGTCTGGTCCTGCCGCTTTTCCAGCTTTTAGCATCCTGATTGCCTTCAGGATTTCTGTTTTCATCGGAGAGTTGATGTCCACTAGTAGTTCTGCTTCCGCTGTTGGTATTATTGGGCGCGTTGTAGGTGGCTGTCGATTTAGAAGTCTTTTGAAGTGTTCAGCCCAGTGTTTCCTTTGCTCCACCTCTTTGGTGATTGACTTTCCATTGTCATCCTTCACTGGCTTAATTTCTGTTGATCTCTTCCCCGATAGGTACCTATTTGTTTGGTAGAGTGTTGCGAGGTCTCCTTTGTCTGTACTGCAACTTGTTCTGCTTCACTTGCCATAACTTCATAATATTTTCTTTTGTCTTCCCTGGCGCTCTTCTCTACTCTTTTGTTCAATGTATTGTAGCCTGCATTCAACTCCTGTTTTTGTTGCTCGTCGATGCACTGGATAATCTTTGGTTTCACCATCCTTCTCTCTTCTATTAGTTTCCATATGTCCGTAGTGAGCCACTGCTTATCTTGTCTCTTCTTTCTGCCTAGAACTTCCATGCAGGTTTGGCTCCACACCGCTTTCAGGTTGTCCCAGTGTTTTTTGACGCTGACCTCTTCGCTAGTGTTGATTTGTGCCCCCGACTTTTCCCTTATGCTTGCAGTGAAGATATCCTTTGTGGCCTGATCCTTCAGTTTTTGAGTATTGAACTTGGCTTTTGGTCTGTCTGCAGCTCCTGTTTCTTTGAAAGCTTTTAATTTGATTTGCAGTGTTCCTTGTACGATACAGTGGTCTGAGCCGACGTTGGCTCCTCTTCTTACTTTTGTGTCTAGTAAGCTGCGTCTCCACTTCCTTGAGCAGTATTGGGATGAAGTCAATTTGGTTTTTGGTTCGTCTTTCTGGTGACACCCATGTAGTCTTGTAAATATCCTTGTGCTTGTATACTCTGCAGCCAATCACTATAATAATAATAATAATGCATTTCATATAAATTTACAAATTTACATGAAAATGCATGCCATTTTTACAGGCACGATCAAGTATGATATAATATCAAATCGTAGATTGTCTACAAGTTAATCGTACTTCAACTGTTAAATATTCGATACATATAATACACTCATTTTCTGAATTAGGCCGTATAGTTATTGAATTGTACAGTTGTCCTCCAGGTTGAGCGGGAAAATCGACTTCGTTCCGTTTTCATCCCGTGGTTGTAGGCATACGATAACCAACCAATATTGAGGTAAGTACACCTTTTACAAGGGATTGGAGTCTGTTTTAGAAAAATTAAAGTGCTGAGGTGAATCATTAAA